TAAATTCTCTCCTATGGGAAGTATTTGACTAGATGCATGTGTGGCACTTGCCAGACATGCGCACCACATCACCAATGCTTCTCTATAAGGAGCATTGGATTGGAGAGACACCAGGGATGCAAAACCACCACAATGCTGTCACTAGAGATAGAAAGGCCAGCAGTGCTAAGTGCTGGAAGAAAGTTGAGTAAAAGCTTTATTTCAAATATTTTTACTGCAATCAGGGGGGGCTCACTAATCTAATGAACCCCCCAAAACGCAAAGAAACACTGTATTAGACTAAGTAGAAGCTCTGTTAACAAGCAAGACATTTGAATTTGTCACTAGATGAGTTCAGTAAACCTCCCCAAACCCTGTGAATACTATGTTGAATAAACTGCACCAGCCAAACTTGTTTTTATAGAATTGTCTAATACAGGTGGTAGGTTATTGACCCAGCCCGAATAATATAGTGGAATTATTCCTCATTATATATATATATTTTTTTTTTTTTTTTTGGCTTCATTTACAAATGTGTGCTCCAAGATGGCCAGAACTCTTCACAACCCACTGAAGATAAAACCAGGAATAAGGTTCTTGAGGGGGATTGAGCAATGTATGTAGAAGTATTTTTAATAATGAAGAAAAAGTTGCCTGATATTCGGTTCTGTTCAGGGACAGATTTCCCATTAGGCATTGTAGCACCTGCCTACAATCACCTTTCCTATAGAGGAATTTATTTACAACACTTATGTAAGTTTATGGCGCTTAAGTGGACTGGTGAGGAGAGATAAGTACCAGGAACCTTGACCAGTGTCCTCTGTAGCCCAGTCAGCCTCCTATGTGTAATATCAGAGCGGCCGGTACAGTCCCAGTTTCTGCAAAGTCTGTGTGTGAATGTTGCACAGGAAGTAGAGGGTACCACTAACTGTCTCTAACAAAAAATGTTGTGAAGGAAGAGCAAGAACAGCATTGAGTTGTTCATACAGTGTATTAGCTCCTGCATTCCTACTATCTATCATAGGAGGGTAAGTACTTTGCAAAAGACCCTTTAAACTTCACATGCATGTACCCTAAACAGCCTTTTTCATCAACCATAAGTTTAACCCTCTTCAAACTAAATGTGAAGGCTTGGCCTGCAGTTGTGGGAGGGGCATGGTGATCTACTTAAACCCCCTCCTCACCTTCCTCAGTCCCGTTTTCGTTTGACGATTCGCATGTCGGGTCATTTCCTCTCCTATTCCTCGTGGCTTCGCTGTTCCTTTGCTGCTCGTGGGTCCGCAGTCCTCCTGGGCTCTGCCTCTGGTGCTGCCAGCCTCGAGTCCCCGGTTTTTGCGGCTGGATTTCTTTTGGTCGGGTCTGCTGCGGCGCCTTTCTTTCGGGTTAATTGACGATCGGCGACGCGGCCGCGGGTCTGCTCTCGCCGGCGTTCGTGCGTCCATGCGGCCGCGCAGGCATGTTGTTGGGTGCAGATATGGGTGAGGTGGAATGCTTGGGTACCACACACTGTAATATCTATGGAGCTCTGCGGGTTAAGCTTTCTCTAACTCTCTCGTTAAGTATATTGTATACATTGTCTTTCTATCTTCCTATTTTTTTTTTTCTAAAATATCCACTGGCCAGCCCAGTATATCCAGCTGAGGGCTTATAAACAAAAGCAAGTGTCTATGTAGAAGAGCCCACAGCAAGCCCCTGGCCCTGACCTCTGGCAGAAAGGGCAGGACTCACTGGCAGAGTTGTCCTAACCCCTCACTCTACACATGGGGACCTGGAAGGAGTGATGTCTTATCTTTTTATAGCTCCAGTGCACATCCACCCACACGTTCCCAGCTAAAGTATGCTAAGAAAACAGCAGCTCGTTAGGACAAGGCCTCTAGGAGTCTGTGAACAGAATCCTATCTAAAAACATTTTTGACAGAGGGTGCTGCACTCAATGGGTTAAATACCGGTGAACTAACTAAAATAAACTGCTTATCAGCCTCCTCCTTTTCTTATTAAGGCTTAAATGCTCTGTCTAGGAGGCACTGAGCTGATCTTTTACACAGCCAAAAAAAAAAAAAAACATCCTCATACTCGTATGCCAGCGCTCACACACATGCGCACACACTCGCACTGGGTCTCGTGACCCCCATGGGGTTTACACCACCACAGTTTCTGTTACCTACTGCCGAGCTTGCTCCTTTCAGCCTGTCTGCCCGGACTTTGTCACGCTTACTCTAATTTCGGTTACGGTCGGCACTTCGGGTTTTCCTCGTTTCACCCCCACAGGTTTCAATACATGTTTCAGCACATCTGTCCTCTCACACTGCCTTCCCTCCCCTCTTAGTTAGCTGTGGCTGGCTGTCAGGGTCCTAGGTGTCCACTAGTTTGTAATTTCCCCCCCTGGCTTCTTCGCCTTAGGTTAGTGGTCCCGCGAGGCCAACATCCATCCTCATACTCGGAGGTACTACGCCCCTCGGGCCAAATCATAGTTAGTCGCCTCGCACTGTGGCATAGAGAGGGCCTCACCTGTCACTCCCATTCTATCTTATGCTTAACTGTCACCGAGAGGCCAACACCCCGCCACAACGTTCAGTGGCCTCGTTCTCCCCTCGCGCCAACTCATAGATAGTGCCTCTCACGCCGCTTGGCATCTAGCAGGGCCTCATCTGTCACCAACCCTAGTTTTAATTGTTTCGCCTTTTTGGCTTAGCTAGTATGCCAGCGCTCACACACATGCGCACACACTCGCACTGGGTCTCGTGACCCCCATGGGGTTTACACCACCACAGTTTCTGTTACCTACTGCCGAGCTTGCTCCTTTCAGCCTGTCCGCCCGGACTTTGTCGCGCTTACTCTAATTTCGGTTACGGTCGGCACTTCGGTTTTTCCTCGTTCACCCTCACAGGTTTCAATACACGTTTCAGCACATCTGTCCTCTCACACTGCCTTCCCTCCCCTCTTAGTTAGCTGTGGCTGGCTGTCAGGGTCCTAGGTGTCCACTAGTTTGTAATTTTCCCCCCCTGGCTTCTTCGCCTTAGGTTAGTGGTCCCGCGAGGCCAACACCCATCCTCATACTCGGAGGTACTACGCCCCTCGGGCCAAATCATAGTTAGTCGCCTCGCACTGTGGCATAGAGGGCCTCACCTGTCACTCCCATTCTATCCTTTGCTTAACTGTCACCGAGAGGCCAACACCCCGCCACAACGTTCAGTGGCCTCGTTCTCCCCTCGCGCCAACTCATAGATAGTGCCTCTCACGCCGCTTGGCATCTAGCAGGGCCTCACCTGTCACCAAACCTAGTTTTAATTGTTTCGTCTTTTGGCATTAGCTAGTATGCCAGCTCGCACACTTACACTCTTTCACGCTTGTGCGCATGTTGGGTCACTTATGCGGGGTCTTCTTCGTTTTTTTTTTTTTCTAGCTGGTCTGGTTTCTCATCACCCTGTGGAGTTTTAGATATGCCTACCTTCTTTTTTCAGGCCTTGGGCGCTTCCTCGATTCGCTGCGGTTCTCGCGAGTCAGCTTTCCCCCCATGGCAGCCTTCTAGTCAGATGTTCCCTCAGTGTCTGTCCACCCTCACGGGTATCGCCGCTATGGGGCGGCGTCGGGTGGCAGTCTAGGTAACTGGCATCTGCTGCTTTGGTTGGTCCCGAACCGGTCTTCCAGCACCTCTTTCGTATGTTCAGTCCTGTGCCTCCTTTACGCTTTCTCATGTGGCCCTGCCTAGGGCCTCTCCCGCAGCCGCTTCCATGCCCGGCTTTTCTGGGCTTGTTCATGGGCTGCCAGCTTTGTAAGCTCATGGTTGCCTTCTTTCACGTCGGGCTCTCATTTTTCTAGCACTCACAGTGTCTGTGTTTTCGGACCTTCTTCCCCTTTGAGGCTCCTGTCTCACTTTTCACGTGTACTGCCTCTGTTGATATGTTGTCCGTGATTGATTGACTTTTGCTTCTTTTGGCCATCTCTTACTTGCATTTACTCTACCATACGGTCTATAACTTCACATGTCGTACAGGTTTCTAATCACACGCTTTTCATGTCGTCATACCAGTTTATTACCATACTCAAGGGTTCAGGTTCTGGGAATTTTCAATCTCCAGATTTCCCACCTTCATCCAAGTTTTATAATCACTATCAGACCTTTTAACACTTGTCATCACGACCGGACATCATCTTTCAATGTAGGGCGATATCTGCTTGATCCAAGGATAAATCCGACCGCCATTCTGGGGTCAAGAAGGAATTTTTCCCTAGCTTGTTGCAAATTGGAAAGCGCATCAAACTGGGTTTTTCGCCTTCTTTTGGATCAACCGTTTAATCACAGATGTGAGGTAGGCCAGATTTGGGGGACGCTAGTATTTTCATCAAGGTTACTAGGTAGTCTAGTTGTCTAGCCGCTATACAGCTTCTTGTGGACACACATCTCCCACAGTCACCACGTCTTTTGCAGCTTTGGCTCAGGAAATCTCACCTATTTATGCAGTCTATTGTTTACCTTCTCTACCCCACACCCAGTTTACGCTAGATGGCCAACATGTTTTCCTTACTTCCCCTTGCACAAGTTAGAGGGCAGTTGAAAGCGCCGGGTACCTCATGACACACTCAGCTGTTACCATACAGATAGGCTATTTTAGGTTGTTGATTGCTTTTAAACAGGTTTCCTTTTTGCCCTCTTTTATTACAGGCCTACCACGACGTCGGTTCCGGCACACCACAACCGACTTATACCCCTCCCCTTTCTTTTATTTCCTTTACGGCCTTATTTGCCCCTCACACAAATAAACGTTTTCCATTGTTCCGCATTTAAGCACTCAAAGCCTAAACCTGAAACAAAACCCATTACCTCAATCCTAAGTTTAACTCCTGTTAAACATTAAGCACACTATGTACCCTAATACTAAATTTAAACCCTCTAACCCAATCATTCTAAACATCCCTTATTCCAAATCTATAACCCCTATCACGTTCTTGACCCTTGTGACACCCTATGTAATCTAACTCTGATATTAACTCTCCCTCTAACCTATACACTAACCACTTCTAACGTTAAAGGGTCACTATAGGGTCAGGAACACAAACATGTATTCCTGACCCTATAGTGTTAAAACCACCATCTAGCCCCCCTGGGCCCCTCATGCCTCCATAGATATTGCAAAATCTTACTGTATTCAAGCCTGAAGCTGTAACTCTGCTTGTTTTTCTGAGGCAAACAGCATGCAGTCTGCTGACATCATCAGAAGTGGTGGCCTGATCCAATCCCAATGCTTCCCCATAGGATTGGCTGAGACTGACAAGGAGGCAGATCAGGGGCAGAGCCAGCATGATTCAAACACAGCCCTGGCCAATCAGCATCTCCTCATAGAGATGAATTGAATCAATGAATCTCTATGGGGAAAGTTCAGTGTCTGCATGCAGAGGGAGGAGATACTGAATGTTTGGATGCATTTTAGGCAGCCATGACCCAGGAAATATCTCTAACAGCTATCTGAGGAGTGGCCAGTGAAGTTATCACTAGGCTGTAATGTAAACACTGCATTTTCTCAGAAAGCCTGAAGATAATGATTCTACTCAACAAAACAAATTCAATAAGCTGTAGTTGTTCTGGTGACTATAGTGTCCCTTTAATTGACATTTATTCATATGCCGTTTTCAAATTGTTCAAATATATGCATTGTTTCAAATATTTATTTTTCTATGCCTTAAATGTTCAGTTAATAAATTCATAAATTCTATTAATAAACTTTTTTTGGGGAGGGGGGGGTGGGAGGGGAATTCTCTTTAGAATTTTGTCTATAGGCACCTGGCACATAAATCCAGCCCTGGTTTTCTTCTTTTGTGAGTAGAAAAGATAAGATAGATGGCATTACGTTTTATTGACTTTATTGTACAGTCTTCTAAATCTCTAAAGCAGGCTTTGTTCTTGTCAGCACAAACTGCAAAAACTGTCCGTCTCCAGCCTGCAAGACAAACAAAACCTTGTATTAAAGATCATCTAGGGAGACAGTTGCTAAAGTCTATACAGCCAGACAACTTTGTCAGTGATAATTGGACACAAGCATCTGTATCAGTTCTTTATTTTTGTGCCTAGTCAACAGAATGCCATAATGGAATCCCTCTCTGAAGAGTATACCTTGAATCCCAGCTTGCACATTCTTGTAATTACAGTCAGGGAGCAGGTAACCTATTTTACAGTTTCAATATTTCTATACTCATAAAAAAAAAAAATTGGGCAGAATAGTAATTTCTTAGTAAAAAAAAAGAGAACGAATGTGACATTTTCAATAAGTGCCATGTGATCAAATACATAAAGTCACCATTTTGGCAAACAGTACATTTGAAGCAACTCAGCTGCTTATTGGTACACGGGCACTTGGGAGGATTATCAGCTGAAAGCATGAGAGCCTATAGAATATTTTTGGACTTCCTTTCAGTCAGCACAGTTTAAAGATGTGAGTTGAATAAGACCTTGTGCACGTGTGCATACTAAAATTCCAGTTGAGGAATAGGTGCCACTTCCCATGAAGATAAAGAACTCTTCTAGAAAGGTTTACAGCTGCGGATGTTTCTAGAAATAAAAAAACAGCACATTGATGTATAGAAGTTTGTTGCTAATTTGTTATTTTATTACTGTAACAGGCCAACTCATTTGGTAAAATTGTCACTATTTTATGTTTCTCGGAATAATAAGGGAAGGGATGATATTGCAAATTTGTCCAGATATATAGTGCCCATCAAACTCGTCATCCATTTCTTTGTTGGCAGTTGAGTTCTCTAAAACGTATTGTAATTACCTTTAATGAAACCTATTTAATTACATATCTGAACAAGTTTTATTGAAATAAATGTTGCAGACTCCATGAAAGACATTCCTAAGCAGCTGTTTATTGCCTTTCTAGTTGGTGTTGAGTATCCCAAGGGAGCCAGGGAACCATAGAACATATTGAGGAATGCGACTGGTAGCTATCCATCACAATCTTTTTCCTCCAAGGCCTATCTACCTTAAAATCATTTCCTTCTTCACATTTGTAAGTACAACTCAAATAAATCAGAATGTTGCAGTCCAGATGCTGTTTCTTCAGAATGTTTATGTTTAATTTATAGAGGTTTTCTATAGCATGACTTAAGACTATTTGCTTTCCATAGTCTTGAATAGCAGACTGGGATTTAACTCTCTGCATGCCATGGGGAGAGGAAACTGATGGCAATGCCAGTGTCTTAGTACTTTAGCATTGGCTAAAGACTTTATTGGTTAAAACATATTCAAGTAAATATTGTTGAGGTTTTTTGTTGAAACAGTGGACATCAACAAGAAGAATTCTCCATCATGGTAGAACATTATGTAGCACATTTGAGAGCAGAACTGTTTGCCCTGTTAGTTGGTTATCATGACTGATATCCCATTATATGGTCTCATGTTTACATTATGTACCCTGGTACTCAATATTCCTGTTCTGTAATTATAGAACAAGTCATAACACTGTAAGCATCAGCCCAAAGCTTGATTCTCTCTGCTGACCATGTCCGACATGCACAGTCTTATTTTCTCAAGAGTTACTTCTGAATGAAATCACCTGCTCAACACATTTTTCCTAAAACAAAATTTCTTTGACATTAGCTTCTCCCAACTTAATATTTTTTTTTTCATGTTATTTAACTTTTTTAATTTATCAGCAACTTAGCTATCAGGGTCACTTACATGTCAACACTGGACCTACTCATAGCTTTTCAATTCAGAGTCCATGTCATAATACATATCCTTCACATTGAGAATGCAGACTTGAGCAATGAGATATGCATCATTCTTATGTATCAGTGCACCTGCACATACAGTATGCACAGACACAACCATTAAGTCTATGGTGAGTTCTGGGTAGCTCTGGGCAGTTCCAGGATATTCTGTAGCCCATCGGCCTAATTACCTGGATTCCTGCCTTCCTTTCCACTGTACATTTCTCTCCAGATCTTGTGAACACCCATGATTATTATGTTTATATAGCTCCAACAAATTCTGTAGCGCTTTACATTACTCAGCTCCTTGCTATTTACCTGGATTATGCATTTTTGCTGCTCACCTTGACCTATGCTCAAAACTGACAGACATTTAATTTATTCCATAGACCAGCTGTAGCATTGCCAAAAGTTTTGTTTGAATATAAATCATGAAATAAAATGAATTTCCCTTTGTTGCAGATCTCAATTTGCTACATGTTTTGAAATATTGATGTGCTTTTTTAAAACAAAATTATGTGAAACATACAAAAAAAATTTGTACAACATAGTCAGGGTGACGATAACAAAGCATTCACAACATGCTGGCTACATTTACTGTGCATGGGCACACTCTTAACAGCATTATTTTAAAACTCCTAACATGTCAGTTACTGCTACACCTCTAGAGAAATACTCACCAAACCAGGGTATCCACTAAACATTGGATTTTGACAAGATGTATAAAATCTGGTTAAATGGATAAATTCTGACCAGAATGGCAATTCTTGTATTTAGTAAAGCCAAATCCAATCGGAATTCGGCCATCCTAACAGATTCTGCAACAATCAGTCGAATGCATTTGATGCCCAGATTCTTTTGCACCCAAACCCTATTCAAAGTATAGGATTCGGAATGTTCATAAAGCTTTTTTCCATCCCAGATTTAAAAAAACAAAATTGGAATGGATCGAATCCAGCAGGATGCACGCTCATAACCTATCGCTCACTTTCTTTTGCAAGCAAGCAATAGTTTCAAGTACTGTTTACCTACTGGCAGCACTAGCAGCCAATGGGCAAATAGCTTAAAAACCCTTGGCAGTGTGAGGGTTAACTATGGGGAAGTTGGTTAGTGCTTGCTACAAAGCTGCCACATTAAAATGCAAAATAATGTAAATAAAGGCGATGAGGGTCAATATGACCCCCATGTTAGGTCTACAGCCTGTCTTATGCCCCTATCCGCCACTTTTAATTGTTAAAAACTAGCCACTGGGCAATGATTGCCACATGGCATTGTCAGGCGGGGGACTTTAAATGAAATAATTGGGATATAAAATATCACTATCCACCTCCCTTGCCCCACCCGTTAGCAATAAATGGGGGAACAGTGTTCACCCCAGTCCCAAGCCCTGGGTGGTTGTTGAGGCTACTAATAAAATATATGAGGGGAGTGGATATACCATTGTGCACCACCTCCCAAAATGTGTGCCATTGCACCCCCAAGCACCTAGCCACCCTCTTCATTTCTCATGGTAGCTCTGTTTGGAATGGAAATAAACTGTACAATAAAAGATGGTTTGCATCTTTCTCAAAGGGAACAAATGTTCTCAGTAAGCAGTTCAGAGCTTTTGCTAGGATGTATTTAAACTAGGAGGGTGGAGGGCAAAAGGGTGATAAAACATTGCCCCCCAAAACAAGTACAGAAAGTGCATGTAGCAAGTGCGTTAATAAACGATAACCTTAGAATCATGTCTACAAATGCTCGCAGTTTAGGGAATAAGAAATTAAAGAACTTGTGGTAATAATGGCAACTGATAATGTAGATTTAGTCGCTGTTGCTGAGACATGGTATAATGAGAAAAATGACTGGGACATAGCAGTACCAGGGTACTCGTTATATTGAAAAGATAGGAGGGCAAGAAAGGGGGGAGGGTGGCCCTGTGTGTAAAGAATAGCATAAAATCTAGCCTAATAAAAGCTAGTGAGATGAACATAGAGTCCGTTTGGGTTACCTTAGAGATTGGTAATCACACAGTAAATTGTGTAGGTGTGATTTATAGGCCCCCAGGACAAATAGAAGAGTTAGATAATATGCTAGTTGAGGAAATAGCTAAATTGACAATGAAGGTGGAGTTATCATCATGGGTGACTTTAATCTTCCTGATGTGAACTGGAAAACCAAAATAGCTGCTTGTGCCAAGAGAACACATATTCTAAACTCCCTAATGGGATTGTCTCTAAAACAAGTCGTTGAGGAGCCAACTCGTAAAGAGGCCATACTATATTTAATGTTAACAAATGGAGATTTGGTATCAGATATTACTGTAGGTGAATGTTTAGGATCCAGTGATCATCAGTCAATGTGGTTTAATATAAGAACAGTGACTGAGTCACACCACACAAAAACAAAAGTTTTAGACTTTAGAAAAACTGAATTTTCTAAAATTAAAATATGTGTAAAGGAGTCATTATCAGACTGGAGCAGTTTAAATGGAGTCCAAGAAACATGGGATTATTTAACAGTTGCACTGCTCAAGGCAACAGTAAATTGCATTAGGCTTGTCATTAAAAGCAACAAATTTAAGACACCACTGTGGTAAAAAAAAAACAGGGTGAGTAGGATAGACAGATCTATAATATTAGGCAGAAAGAGGCTAAGCAAGTTGTCAGGATCCGATCTTGACAACCAAAAATTATGTTTCTCTTATTCGGTTTCTTTAAAACAAGTTACAGTTTT